GAAGCAGGCAGGACTCGGATGATCCTCGAAACACATTACCACTTTAGGATATTCTATGGAGTCACAGGAGAGAAATCCACATGGATTTCTGTGGATTTTGGGAACAAGCTCTTCCCAAGGCTCCAGGATTGACCCCATGTGGACAATCAGAATTGGGGTCCCAGTTTTCACAGAGTGGTTTCTCCTGGTGGGATGCAGCACCACAGAAATCCAGGAATCCTCATCCTGGGGTATTTAGGAAGTCAGTAGAGAAGGATATATTATTGAGAGCTGGGCTGGAGTTTGGTTTTCCTTCTTCCTGCTATCACAGCTCCCAAAAAAATCTGGCCTGCGTATTTGAAATGCCTTTGTAAGCTTCTTGTCCCAGCTTGATTCCTCAGAATCATGGAATGGTTTGGGGTTGGAAAAGACCTTAAAGCTCATCTTGTTTCATCCTCTGTGCATGGGCACACTTATCCAGAGCTTCTCCAAGCTACATCCAACCTGGATGGACGCTTCCAGGGATTCTAACTTATGTGGACAACCTGTGCCAGGGCCTCACCATCCTCACAGGGAAGAATTTTTTTCCCAATAGCTCATATAAACATTCCATCTGCATCTACCATTTAAAAAAAAAAGCAATTCCAGTATGTTTATTGTTTATTCTCTTTTTATAGACAACTGACTCACAGCAGGGCCGTTGGTTGGGAACAGGTTGTTCATGGAATTACACAGGGAATAAAACAAATGGAAGTGAGTAGGAGGAAGATCCAATCCATATCAGCACAGCCCCAGCTCTCTGCGTGTCTCAGCCAGATGGAAATTTCAGAAGGTTTATGGGAAAAAAAGTATTTTAAAAATGATGGATTTACAGCTCCAGTGGTATTGTTCCAGTGTCCTCTCTGGAGAAGGTCCGGGATTTTGGATATGAGATTTTCAGGGATGGTCCTACTTGGTCAGGTCACAGCCAGGCTGAGGAACACATTAACAATTAAAAAGTGTGGACAGCTGTTCCATAGCCCTTGGAATTGTGCATGGATTTTCCATCTATTATTGGTATAGATTCCATGGCAGCTCTTCTGCAGTGATTCCAGCCCCAGGGAAGCTCCAAGGGCTGTTGGATCCCCCCATTAATGCCCCCAGTTACAGGTGTAATCCTTTCTGTGACTTCATCCGGATCCAGCTGGGATTTGGGCAATACAGGAGCCCCAGAGACGCCATAAAATCAGGTAATATCCATAACCAGGGATTTGGGATGGCCCTGGGGCACCATTTCCCTGCCCTGCTTAGAAGAGAGGAAGCCAAAGGGAAAAATCTCAGGATTTCAGCACCTTGGTGTATCCCAGCCCTGGGTTACCCATGCTTGGATCCTGATCCTGAGTGTCTCTTCCCTGTGGAAGCACCCAGGAATGGGGAAAAGTGTGGGAGATTGGTAGGAGCAGCCACAAGGATCAAGTCCTTCCATGATTTGATATGCAAAACCTGTGTGGGATGAATTCCAAGCTCCTCTTGTTTTCCCTGGAATCTGAACGCCTGTGAGGGTCTGAGGTGAGGATGGGTTTATGTTGGGGGCATGGTGGTGACAGCTCACCTTGGTGTCCTGATTTTTACCAGGTCACAACCAGGCAGGGTGCAAAGAATGAGCCTTGCAGGATCAGCACAGAGAAATCCCTGTGGAGAAGGGATGGAAAAAGGAGGAAGGGAAAATCACTTTTCATTGTCATTGAGTTGAGGAAGGGAAGAGCTGGAGCTGTCACTCACCCAGGAGGTGCTCAACACACACAGTTCCTCTTCTCCCATGGCCATGTGTCCTTCAAAGTCATTCCTGGTAAATGGAATTTTTGGAATATTTTGCCTCTTTCTCCCTCAAAAACTCTACAAAAAAATGGAGGGTGGGGAGCAAGACTCTGCAATTGCTTTAGTGGGTTTTATTTAGGGCTGGAATATCCCTTGAGCTGAGAACCAATTCCATCTTGTAATCTCTGATGCACTAGGACTGGGTGGGGAATGGCAGAACAGAGGGATAGATGGAATTATCTGGGAATTTTCTGAGATGCCACCTGAGAAGGGATCAGGTGTGTCACCCTCTGACCACAGGGAAGCTGAGTGGGTAAAAACTTCAGAACATAATAACAGGCATAGACCCCATGAGGCCAATCTAGGATGTTTCTGTCCTTCCCCATCACTGGGTTTGTGTTGATACTTTTCGGAGGCCAATTTTGAGAAGAGCCCAGTATAAGGCTCCCAAAAAATGAGCAGATCCCTCTTCCTTGACTTCCGGTCTCTGTTCTACATCCAGAAACACTCAACAGACAGAACATTCCAGAGGCCAGGCCAACAAAGCCACATTCCCGTGGCTCCAACACAGGCGTGCAGTGCAGTGTTCCAGAGCCAAGAGTAAAATCCAGGATCAAGTTCTCATCCTGAAGGATGTGATTCAAATGTCTGCAAGGGCCTGATCTCCAAGGATGAACCTGAGATAGGGAAATAAACAGTTGCTAGGAACATCCCTGGTCTGGAACAGCACCCACAACATTTAATGAATGGGTTTAATTGTTGGCACATTCCCTGGCAAAAGTTCTGGGATGGATCAACCATCATTACTCCATGGGATACCTGGAATAAAACAGAGAGGTGGCACAAAGGATTATTCCCAAGAGGCTGATATCCATCTCTTGGCCTCTGTGCTGGAGATGGTCCTGGAAAAGCTGAATTTTCTGCCACAGCTGTAGCCCATGGATACTGGGACACCTTTATTCCAGATCTTTGCCCTGACCCAGCCAAGCCTTCCGTGCTCCCATGTGTTGGCTAGCCAGGGTGGCACCACCATCCTGAGGCTCCCGAGGAAATTCCAGCCATGGCAGTGCCACACCTCACACATCATCTGAGGCTGGGATGGTAACTTCCCAATAATCTGGCTCAGTGGGCCACCAGCAAGCCCCAAAATGGGAATTAACCCATCGTGTACTTTTGTCCATCATCCCACTTGTCCCTCAAACCGCTCCTGCCAGTGGAGCTGTGGTGGACCACTTCCCATGGCCTTGGAGATCCTCTTCTGGCTGACAGCGAGGAGCAGATTTGAATCCTTGGACTTGGTGATTTCTCTCTGGATCTATGTCAGGCAGGAGATATTTGTGTCATCAGTCCTTGGAACTGAGGGAATAGATGTTAATCATGGAATGGTTTGGGTTAAAAGGGACCTCAAAGACCCTCTTGTTTCAACCCCCTGCCATGGGCAGTGACACTTTCCACTATCCTGGGTTGCTCCAAGCCCCATCCCACCTGGCTTTGAACATTTCTAGGGGTGGGGAGTCCACAATCCCGATCATAGTGAAGAGTGACACAAATATTTTTCCATTTTTTTTATCTTAAAAAAAACAAACAAACAGTGAAAACCAGTGAAAACTGGAGGACAGAGCTTTTCCAGTGCGCTCCACTGCTTCAGGATGCTGAGCCTTGGCTTCCCAGGCTTCCAGACTCCCCCAAAGAGTCACCCCTGATGCCATGATGAATCAGGCTGGCCAATCCTTATTCCCTGGAACAGGTCCTGCCCTTTGGTCACTGCCTTGTGACACCTGGCAGCACTGACACACCTCCTCCAGCATTCCCGGGGCACGCAGTCCCCAAGCCTGGCACGGTTTCATCTCTTGGGCAAGAGATGTGGTTTATACTCTCCACACCCAGGTGTAGATCCATGGCAGAGGAATGGCTGCTGCTCCTGGGGTTGTCAGGGCTGACTTCCCCATCCTGTTGATCCAGTTTTACGTCAGCAGAGTCTGTGGTGTCAGAAACCTCCAAAATATCTGTGGATTATAGAAAAAAAAGCTCTTTGTGAGATTTCTCCCAGCTTTTGTTTCCTTGAAAAGGAAGATGTGGCGGGTTTTGGTGTTTCTTTGAACATCCTCTGGCTGAGTGATCCTGGCAGACTTCCAAGTGTTAACAGGGCCTTCACTGTGGTCAGTGATTGATCCCCCTGGACACTCTGAATGTCTTGGATGAGCATCTCCTCTGTTCCAGGGAATTTTGCTCATCTCACTTGGCTCTTGCCAAGAAAATCATGCTGACCCTCAATCATTTTAACCCACATCCATCTTCCACATGTTTTTGGAGGCTCTGCCCCTTCTGCTTTTCCATCTCCTAGGTCCCAGGCTGTGTCAGTCTCCGCTCTCTTTTCCCACAGGATGGAGAAGGAAGGGATGAGCAGACACCTGATTGCCCAAGCGGCTTTACTCCAAGGGGCTCCTCCTGCTTCACCCTCTCTGCTCCTTGGTGGCTTGGTGATTCATGGAGATGTCTGCTGATGTTCCAGCACTAAACATCCTGATAGCTCTTTCCTTGGAAGCACAAGCAGGACAGGCAGTCAGGTGGAAGCTGAAGTTATCAGCTCCATCTCCACCCCTTTCATGCAGAGGAATTGTAAAGGCTGTGAACATTTTTGTCTGACTGGTATTGAGCAGGACTAGAAAGCGGATGCTCCATGGAAAAGGGGACAAAGATATTTTTAACCCTTGCTGGAATTGTTCAAAGCCAGGTTGGATGGGGCTTGGAGGCACCTGCAAGGTGTCCCTGTCCCGGGCAGGGGGTGGGAATGAGATTGTCTTTAAGGTCCATTCCAGTCCAAACCATCCGATGATTTTATGATTTCAGACTTTGAAGGTAACCAAGTTATGCATTTCCTGTCCCCGTGAATATCCAGCTTGGCTTACCCTGACTGCAAATGTTGGGAGTTCTCCTAACCCTTCAAATGGACTTGTCATAACCCACCCAGACAATTCCATTAATTTATGCCACTTGTTCCCATTTTCCTTGGAGAAAAGGAAATAACCTGGCCACAGATGCGATGATCAGAACAAAACCCCCACCCAAACACCAGCAGCACTGCTGACCAGAGAGGAATTAAAGGATTAATCCAAATAAATGGTGTGAATTCCCAGAGTGCTTTCACTGCTCCTTGGAATCACCAGCCCAGCCTGAAGGCAATGCTGAGGTGAGAAAACAACCCACCTGCATTCTTGGCCTCTCATCTAATCCGTGATCCCTGCCCACTCTTTCCAAATTGTTGGCTTCCTCATCACTCGGTCCAAAGGCAGGGAAGATTTATATCCTGTCCCCAGGTGAGGGTGTTTTTCCTGGGCTGCGGAGACGACCGGGAGAAGATGAAGTTCTCCCTCCTTGTGGTGCTGGCTTTGGTCCTATTCGCAGCTCAAGGTGAGGTTTGCTCCTAGATAAAGTACAGCTGAGTGTTTTAAAGGGAGGAATGCCTCATATCCAGGGGAAGAAATCACGGGAGAGAGCTCCTCAGCTCTTGGAATGGACATAGGTAATGGACACAGTGCTCATTTTGGGGGTTTTTATCTAGAATCTCTGTCTGGGTGTGTGAAAAGTTTATCTTTGGACAGGAAATTTTCCCGTCCTGCTGGATTTTTATGGAAACGAGACAGGAAAAAGGAGGCAGTTCCCACTGGTCTGCCTTTGAGAGATTTTCCAGGGTGTTTTCCTGTCAAGGGGGTGCAAGGCTGCGGTTATTTCTAGATTTTGATGAAGACAGCACAATTCTCAGTGTTCCTGGCCCACGAGGGCCACACCTCCAACATCTGGCCCTGTGCAGTTGTTTCTACCCATCTCCAAGACCCCACAGCTTGCTGACTTCAGAGATTTTTGGAAAAAAATCAGGGAATTAGGGAGAAATTGGGATGTAGTATGAATTAATTAATGGTGGTGGGTATTTACATAGTAATTGTGTTATAGATGGTGCTTTTTATTTCACTGAGAGGTGGTAAATTAAATCCTTTTTTAAGGAATATGATCCTTTATCCTCTATAGACCAGAGAGAATAAACCTTATCCTCATTTTGGAGAGCGGGACAGGCTTTGCCAGCACTTGGAACTGTGCCACATGTCTGGTGCAGAAAAAGAATTCCTTGGAATAGTTATTTCTGGCTCATTGTGGCCTAAGAATACCTTTCTGCTATTTAGCTTTGTTCACTCACCAGAACAGTGATCCTGACAGATTTCCAAGCATTAACAAGTCCCGGGAGACAGGGAGGTTGTCCTCAGTGCCAAAATGAAGCCTGGCCTAATCCACATTGGATTATCCAGGCAGTAAAAATTAAGCATTCACTGCATGTGTCTTGACTTTTCTAAGCCATGGAGGTCCCAATTAACACTCTTCAGCTGCCAGTGCTTTCTGCCTAATTAGGCTGCAGTTTAATAGTCCCCAGCAAGTATAAAAAGTGACCCCAGGCCTTGGGACATCCTTGGAAACTCCTCCAGGAGTCTCTGCCCTTCCCTGCTCCAAGCATCACATCAAACTTGGTGCCCTCGGCCTATCAAATTGAAGGAGGGGAAATTTAGGTTGGATATATGGGAAAAAATTCTTCCCTGTGAGGGTGGTGAGGCCCTGGCACAGGATTCCCAGAGAAGCTGTGGATGCCCCTGGATCCCTGGAAGTGTCCAGGGCCAGGCTGGATGTGGCATTGGAAGGGTGGATTGGGTCTTGCAGCTCCACGGCTTTTATCAGACCTGCACCTTGCGTATTTGAGATTCCATGACAAGCAGGGGATAATTTTTGCTGCTGGCATTTCACAGAATCCCAGAATCATTTAGGTTGGAAAAGACCTCCAAGATCCTCAAGTCCAACCTTTGATCACCACCAGAGCTCTGAGTGCCACATCCAGGCATTCCTTGGATACCTCCAGGGACTCCTCCATCTCCCTGGGCAGCCCATTCTGATGCTGAACCACTCTTTCTGTGAAGAAATTCTTCCTGATGTCCAACCTGAGCCTCCCCTGGTGTAGTTTGAGGCCTTTTCCTCTTGTCCTGCCCCTTGTTCCCAGGGAGCAGAGCCTGACCCACCCCTGGCTTTCCCCTCCTGTCAGGGAGTCATGGAGAGCCAAAAGGTTCCCCCTGAACCTCCTTTTCTCCAGGCTGAGCTGCTTTCCCAGCTCCCTCAGTCACTCCTGGTGCTCCAGACCCTTCCCCAGCTCCATTCCCTTCTCTGGACACGCTCCAGCCCCTCAAAGCCATGAGGGGACAAACCTGGATGCAGGATTTGAGGCACGGCCTCACCAGTGCCTGGCACAGAGTGACAATCCCTGGCCTGCTCCTCCCGGCCTCACTCTGGCTGGCACAAAGCAATTCCATCTCCCTCTTCCCTGTTTTGTGTCTCTTCCCACAGCAAATGCCCTGTACTGCTACACCTGCAACTGGGAACAAAGCAACTGGAGCTGCCTGAAGGCCGAGAAGTGCTCGGACAAGGACGAGTACTGCGTCACCAACGTGGCCTCTGTAGGAATCGGTAGGTGCTGGCTCTGGACCCCTTCATGGGGATTCAGGGATGGGAGGTGAGGTCTGGATTTGTGGTGGGCTGAGGAGTCGTTGGGAAGTGGGAGGTGGAGCCCTTCCTAACCCATCCTGGCATTCCTGGAAGTTTGAAATCCTTCCCTCCATCACACCCTGAGATTGTCCTCTAGCTGTTGTTTTATTTCTGTGTTGAAAATCAGGGGACATTGGGAGAAGAAGGATCCTTTGGAGGAAGCATAAATAAATTTGAACCTTGATTCCTTGTTCCCTGGGAGCAGAGCCTGACCCCAACCTCAAGGGAGTTGTGCAGAGCCAGAAGGTCCCCCCTGAGCCTCCTTTTCTCCAGGCTGAGCCCCTTTCCCAGCTCCCTCGGGCTCTCTGGGGCTCCAGACCCTTCCCCAGCTCCATTCCCTTCTCTGGACATGCTCAATTTCTTTGTTGCCATGAGGACCCAAAAACCAATCCCAGTATTTGAGGTGTGGCCTCACCAGTGACAAGAAAGGGGAAAAATCACTTCCCTGGTCCTTGGTGGTCACACTATTTCTGATCCAAGCCAGACATAGAGGGAAACAGAATTATTTCCCTCAAATGGAAAAGCCTGGAAATGCAATTTAAATCCAGGAATGAACGTTGTCATCGTACACCTAAAAAAGTTTTGGTATGAGGATCCATGCTGGGAAGTGCTGGATGCCTAGCACGGATATGAAACTCCTTGTGTAGGAGGTCACCAAAAATTCCTGGGCTGTGGGGGGACAATGGGACTCATCAACCCAAGCCCATCCTGCACAAGGACCACTCAACAAACCCCATTGCAAATCCTCTCTCTCCCTTCTCTGGGCCAGGCGTTTTGTCCCTGTGGAAGAGGATCACCAAGAAGTGCTCCAGCACCTGCCCACACCACAACTTCCTCCTGGGCCTGGTCACCTACACCTCCTACTGCTGCCAAAGCTTCCTGTGCAACCTGAGCGCGTGCCCGGGGCCCCGGCTGGCTCGCCCGTGAGGTGCTGGGGGTCCCATTCCATGCGCTTCTTCAGCTTCCTGATGGAAGGAAATGGACCCTGAAGGACTGAAGAGCTTGGCCAGATTCCCCCAGGAGGGTGTGGACATCAGACACGAGGAATAGATAAAGCATTGTTGTCACTGTCTTGTCCTGTGGTGTCTCCCAACCTCCTTCTCACTTTCTTCTCAACCCTGAGCTCTCTGGCTCCAGCATCCCCACCAGAGCTCTGAATGCCACCTCCAAGCATTCCGTGGATGTCTCCAGGGATGGGAACTCCGGCACCTCCCTGGGCAGCCCCTTCCAATGCCTGACCATGCTTTCTGTGAAGAAATTCTTCCTGATGTCCAACCTGAGCCTCCCCTGGTGTAGTTTGAGGCCTTTTCCTCTCATCCTGTCCTTTGTTCCCTGGGAGCAGAGCCTGAACCACCCCTGGCTGCCCCCTCTTTTCAGGGAGTTGTGCAGAGCCAAAAGATCCCCCCTGAGCCTCCTTTTCTCCAGGCTGAGCCCCTTTCTCCCTCAGCTCCCTCAGCTGCTCCTGGTGCTCCAGACCCTTCCCCAGCTCCATTCCCTTCTCTGGACACCATCCAGCCCCTCAATGTCTGTCTTGTCGTGCTCTGTTCTGCAGCTTTGGGAGGGAGATGCTCCTTTTGCACTTCCTGCATCTCCAGAGGGGTTTCTCCTGGAATTTAATTCTATTTTGGGTTCAGTTGGAGCCACAGAGTGGAAAATCCTGGGCAAAAATAACAACCGCTCTTATCCGCACATCTGTCCCCACCTCCACTTCCATCATCCATGGGAATCCCATCCTTCACATTTCTTTGCTGTTGTTGGAGCCACACGACCTCACCCAGGGCCAGCAGCTCTCTGGATTCACAATTCCACTTGGAATTGTGTCTTCCAGCAATCCATTAATTCACCTTTTCCTCAGACATTCTCCAAAGCAGGGTAATCATGGAATATCCTGAGTTGGAAGGGATCCACAAAGATCATCAAAGTCTAGCTCCTGGTCCTGCAGGGGACAACCCTGACAATCCCACCCTGAGAGCTTTTTCCAAGCGCTTCTGGAATTCTGTCAGGCTTGGTGCTGTGACACCACTTCCCTGGGGAGTTCCAGTGCTCCAAGACCCTCTGGATGAAGAAGCTTCTCCTAAAATCCAGCCAAACTTTCCCTGACACATCTCCAGTTGTTCCCTCAGGTCCTGGGCACCAGAGGGAAGAAATCAATGCCTCCTCCTTCGCTTCCCCTCATGAAAAGCATTTGCAGCATTTGGGTCGAGCTGCTGAGGAAACTTAGAGAGGTTTGTTGGGAAAACAGAAAATCCAGAGAGAGAAAATATTAGGCAGAGATGTTTCCAGAGGCTGCAGAGAAACAAGGGTAAAAAAGGGCTGGAAAAATAAACAACAACAAGACAACAGAGGTTTTTCATTGCCAGATGTGCTCTGCGTGCCTCTCCTTTCTCCTAAACAACACTTTTTGGAGGAATTTTGCTAATTTTGCTCTGGAAAAATCATGGGAGTGCTTTGACTCGAGTCAAAGCTCCCAGATCTGCAAAACATTCCTCAGCCAAGGGATGACGCTCTGTGTTGTGCTTCCAGCCCAAGCCTGGTAAACAACGGGGACAAAAGGGGCTTTGAGCTGTGCTGAGCAGGGCTGCCTCAGGCTGCAGCCTGGGGCTGATAAGGTTAGACGATTTCTTCCCAAATTCTGCAGAACAGGGAATTTTCAGGGATGTGTCTCTCCTTTATTAATCAACTTCTGCTTTCCTTCACCCCCTCCTACAGCGTGAAGGAATTTTTTCCTCTTATTTACAGCACGATCTCTTTCCCACCCTCTTTGGGAATTTTTATTTCCCACCCTAAAGCGATTCAAGCTCCCTCCCTTCCCTCAACCCGAAGCTCTTAATTTACTCATCACACAATATTTCCTCATAAAAACAACAAAAAAAACTAAGAAAAAACAAAAAAGGGATTTGTGTGTTTTTTCTCCTGTGTGCCAGAATTTTTCCGCTTTCTGAAAGCACTGAGGAGTCCCAGTTGGACAGACTCTAATAATTAATATTTCATTGGGTTGGATTTATTCTTCCTGCAGTCGTGGAGACAGAGGCTCCCCCAGCCTGCAGGAAAACACAGTCGGGAATTTTTATTTTTTTTTTGCTGCTTTAAAGCAAAACTGGCTGAGTTTTTTTGCTTGATTTGCTGTGCCTTTGCTGCAGAAAAACTTCCTTGTATCCATGGATAATAGAAAGGGAAAAGAAATCATCCTGGGCATGGCTGAAGAGAGCAAAGGGTTATTTTTTTTACAACATAAAAAATGAAGTAAAAAAGATGGGATAGGTTTAGATGGGATATTGGAAAGAAAATATTTATGGGGAAGAGAGTGAGGCTCTGGAATTTCCCAGAGAAGCTGTGGCTGCTCCTGGATCCCTGGAAGCATCCAAGGCCAGGTTGGATGGGGCTTGGAGCAGCCTGGGATAGTGGAAGGTGTTCCCAGGGCAGGGGGTGGCACTGGATGATCCTGAAGGTCCCTTCCAACCCAAAGCATTCCGTGATCCTGTAATTCCCACTGCAGCTCAAGGATATGGAAATCCCTCCTTCCGTAATGCCAATCAACCCTGGTGGCAATTACTCCTCTCCAAGACATCTGAGATGTGCAGGAAGGAGAGGAGGGTGTGATTCCCAACCACTAATTTTGGCAGGGAATTAGGGCCAATCCGGACCACAGAGAGATGGGAGTCATTAACACACGTTTGAGGCAGCCCAGAAAATGACCCTGAGCTGTGTCTACCCCTTGGGTTGAGTTGTTTGGAGGATCCTAAACAAAAAAGGGCTGTAAAAAACTTTTTCTCCTCACTCCAGATCGCCCTGAGCTTCCCTGACCCCATCCAAAGACTTGGACAGAGGTGAAGATGCTCCAGAGGCTCATCCTGGCATTATTGCAGGAATTTGGGAATACCCAACCTGATGAACATGGGGACAGAGGGGAGGGGGAGATATTTTCCTCCAAGGCATGGAAAAAACTCCTTGGAGGAAGTTTTTCTGAGCATGGCACTGAGAGAGGCAGCACAAAGCAAACACGGCCCTTTCAGCGGCTGGAGCCGGCAGGATCACGTGGAATTGAGATGGAGCAACAATTCCAAATGGAATAATAAATGCCTGGCTGCGGATAATAATCAGTTTAAATACCTCAGGGATGTGATGGATGGAGTTGTGACGTGGTTCCTTCAGGTCCAGGACAGTTGTCACCCTTCATCTCTGCTATCAGAGCCACCAACAAGCCAAATCCCGTGGGGAAATTTATCCCTGTGCCAACCCATGTGTGTGGGCGAGGAGTGCTGGGAGGGAGAGGGAGAATGGGATAGAGCCATCAAACCTTGGAAAAGAGGGAGAGGAATTCCCAAGGCAGGGATCCAGGGGAGAGGAGACATCAGATGGTGACCAGTGGCCACCCCACTGTCCCCCTGCCACCCCCACCAGGAGATGAGTGTTGGGGCAGGCAGGAAAACCCCAGACCTCCTCCCCAAAGCCCAGAGCTGTTTCCTAACTCTTTGTAGGGTTCAGGGAAGGGGGTGAGGTCCTCGTTTGGTCTGGGGGGTGACCAACATCGCTGGGATTCCGGAGTGACCGGCTGGATCACAGAAACCAGGGAATATGGAGAGGGGAGAAGTGACCTGGCTGTTCCCAGCAAGTACCAGGGATGGGAAAATGCATCTCTGGGCTTGTGACACTTTCCTGCTGGGAGTTTGGGTGGGAAAGGTGCAGTAAATTCAGCTTTGGGGGAAATTACAGCTCTTTTGGGAAACCAGGCGTTTTCCAAACCAAAAACTGGAAGCTGAAATCTCTGGAGCTGTTTGGGGTCAAGAGGGAATGAAGCAAAAGAAAAAAAAAAGCAAAAATGTGTTTTAAATTTTTTTCATTTTCCTCTTTTTTTAACTTTTAGCAGCATGAAACACATTGGATTTCCAGAATTCCAAACTGGAATAACTTGTGGATTCGTGTCCTGGCCTTATCTAAATGCTGGATGGCTCAGTGTGTGTCTGCCCCCCAAACTGCAGATTTTGGGATAACTCCCCCTGACAGGACTGCACCTCAATGGCTCCATGGAGACCCCCAAATCTTTCCAGAGACCCTGGGCAAGTGAATCCAAAGGATCAACCCTTTCCATGCCTAAATGAGTTGTTTTCAATTCCAGACCGAGTGAAGAAAACAAAATCATTTAAAAAAAAAAAAAAAAAAAAAAAAAAAAAAAAAAAGGTGGCAAAACTATAAAAAGCCCACCAGCCTACGAGGCGTAATTTGATGAAAATTGGCACTTTTCCATAAAATTTCTAAGTCTGGGGCACTAATGAATATTCTGAATTGCGGGAGGGGGAGACGCAACGATTAAAAAAACCAAAAAAACAACAGTTTCTTAGGAAATTCTGGCTGCTTTCCAGCACGAAGAGCCAGACAGAGCCCACGAGAGGGAGCTGCTGCCTCTGTCCCGGCCCATGGAATGGAGAGCCGCTGGTCCTGGAGCAATTTCCAGGGAAAAAAGCGAGCAGCCGTGTGAGGGATGAGGCGGCTGGGTTGGCAGCAGCCCAGGGAAGGATCCATCCAGGCTGTGGGTCCATCCTGCTGATTCCAACCCAGGCGACAGCAGGTCCTGGCCGTTCTCCAGCGTCTGCTCGCTCCCACGCCGCTGGCAATCCGGGATGCGCCTTGCTTTGGGATAATTCTGGAGCATCCTGTGCTAGAACAGGGGGCATTCCCATCCGAATCCTGAAGCCCTGCAAGGTTTTAATCCAGAGCTTGGGCTGCTTGGAAGGGGGTGAGACCCTCTGTGCCACTCTTGGAAATCCCCAAATTGGTGGGATGGGCCAGGCAGCTTGAAGGGAACTTTGTTTTCCTGGCATCCGTGAAGTTTGGGGGAGTAAAGAGGGGATCAGATCGGATGGGGCTGTGCTTTTTTGCCGCATTCTGGGTGATTTTTCTGATTTTTCTATGCATTTCCTCTTTGCAGTGCTTCCTTCCACAGCTTCCTGCCCCTCTAAATTCCACTGGCTCCCTCCAGAAATGGTCACAGCCAAAAGACAGGGCCAGCACTTGGCCTAACAGTGGAAATTCCACTTTTCTCCTCCTCTTCTCTGAGCTTTCACCCTGACTTC